CTTTGATGACGATGCTAACTTAAAATGGGATTTGGAAATACATGCTGCGAAAATTCAGCACAACTTGTTTTTATACGCATTACTATTCACTGTAACAATACAAAGATTTAAATACTTTTCATTGGAAGAGACAAGATGGCAATTAATCAATTTTTTTAAAAATCCCTTTGTCAATACTTTACAGAGGGCGCTATATTGGTTTCAGCACACAAGGCACTCCTTGTCAAGAGAACATAAGAACACAAATGTCCTCAAAGATATTCACGGTACCAACAAGGTTGTGAAGAAATATCGACTACTTCTATTGTCCAAACAAGCAGCTTATCATGATAATTAAGTAAAAAGCAGAATTTACTCGAACAAAAATGTGGAAAAGTGTGATACAGGAATATGGACAATGTCTCTGGCATGAAACCTAAAGTTCTCCCTTTCACTGCTTCAAAGGAAAATTCATAGTGACATTACAAAATATTCTTACATTTAATAACGTCATAAAAATAATCCTATTAGATGTCCCCTTTAAAGTCCCATGTCAAAAAGCTGCACAAAGTCTATGGACTTTGGGGAGAAGAACAAAATGAAATAGACTGGCCTTGTGTTTGTCATGTGATTAACACATAGCTCGTTTGGATTTCTGTTTGTTTTGTGTATCTTCTTTACAGTGGGTAAATTGGTATACAATTTAATAACGGTATTTTAGAGTGTTGTAAACACTGGCCTGTTAAACATACCGGTATTTCACTCAGATTTCACGTGACACATTGTTACATCATCATTATGTCACACTATCTTCTTTCTTCAACACACCCCTGTCCAGTGACTCATGAATGACTCAACATGATGTCACGACAACTTTGGCGTTTAACATTCCCCGCCAATAAAAAAATGTGTTCAAGCTAACTGGATGTGCAATACTAGATACTGGTCTGTAAAAGTACACCTTTCATGTTATTGTCATAGTTTTCACGTAGACAGTGTTACCGCCTGTAAATAAACAAGTTGAAAATGAAATAGTCAAAAATCAATGACAAATCAAAGCATGACAACGTCATAACGTCGCTGTGAAGTTGTATTTGATTATCCCACTTAGTTTCAAGGTAACCATATATTTCTGTAAATGATGCAAGGTTTCTGTTGGTGAAATTTAATGAAAATCCCATTCACTTCTCTAGAAAAACTACATAAAAAGTCTTTGGACATCGGGGTAGAACAAGAAGAACCACAACAAGCAAAAAGGCTTCTCTGCAACTACGTGAAAAAGCCAAAAGAACAAGAATGGCTTTTCTGTAACCATGGAGAAAAGTTTACAAAGAAAAACGAAACTGAAACAGTTACACAGAGAGAAGAGAAAAAAAGATGCTCGAATCAAAAGAAGAATGCTTCTCCATACTTTGCAGAAAAGCCAAAAATAATGGTTTACAGTCTTTTTGCCCCTTTTTAAATCGCCCCTAACCACTTTGCCCCATCCCCACTTCGCCCCATCTCCACTTTGCCCCATTTCCACTTCGCCCCATTTCTACTTTGCCATCTGTTTTGAGTGTGTTACAAGCCTCTTCAAAAAATGGTCGAGAGAGGAGTTCCACAAACGACACGTAGTTACTATAGAAAAGTCTACGGCATTAAATTAATGTCTACTGCATTATCCATTATGATGAATTAATGCATGGTTGGACTAGCATCGGGGTTATTTCTCATCCTCTTCAATTTTTTTAAAAGCAACACATACAATTCTGTTAACATAATTCTGGTAATTGTCGATGCATCCAGACAGCTGTACCCGGAAGATCAGATAAAGATCTTACTTGTTGAATCCAGGCCTATGCGTCTGTCACTGAAGAACAAAATGAATGATAATCAATGGGGCGAAGTGGTAATGGGGCGAAGTGGTTAGAGGCGAAGTGGTAAGGGGGGAAGTGAAAATGGGGCGAAGTGACCGACACCCAAAACAACAAGCCAGTTCAGTATTTAAAAACTCATGCTCAACAAAAAGTGCTTCCAACACCTTACAGAAACAAAGAAAATGCATGTGAGGTCTATGTCCTCATCAACACAGCCATAAACCAATTTGCACTTTGGTCTCGAATGACCCTTTCCTTTTTGACATACCAAACTGGCAGGGAAGTCAGGCCCTATGTGTGGTTCAAAGCCTGTGCAACATGCAGTTCACGTAGGGGCAAGATTGAATTGGGCAGATCTTCACTCATACGTCGACGTTATGATGGAACGGTTCTTTCGGACGTCAAACTCACTTGTGTAGATGGTTGGCTTGAGTCCCCACTCATTCCCCCGGTACACGCCCAGGTAGGAGAAGGCATCGGGCTTGTAGGTCAGCTGGCAGCGGATGCCCAGCTTCCGCAGCCTGGCTTCGAGTTCCATCACCTCCACCTTGTCTGTGAAGTCCCGGGAGTAGACGCAGAAGACATGCCGCGGGCCGTCGATACCCCCCACGGTGAGTGCTGAGCTGACCTTGGTGGATACTCCCAGGTGGCCGGTGATGGTGGCTTGGAATATCCTCTCCCATGTCAGGTCTGTGTGAACTCCCGTCTTCTTCCAGACTAGCCACTTGCCGACCAGACATCTATTTGGAAAACCCAGAAATGAAGAAGATTAGAGGTCTATGTTTGTTATTCAATCATATATAACACATGGAATTTTTGGGGTATGAGTTTTGTAAATATTAGAAATTTGGGTTTGAATTTTAACTGGTTGAAACCAATGATGGGATCAAATTAAAAGCCGCAATGAACTCGCAGGCAAGTAAATGGTACAATTAATCAAAGAGCAGCAGAGAAAAACTATGTACAAAGTCTATGGGATTTGGTGAAGAAGAAAAAGACAATGGAAGTGAATAATCTGAACAAAATGAAAAAGCTTTTCTTCTAACCTCAAGTGAGAGAGCAAAGGATCACATAGTGACTTATGTCTACTAGGAAACAAGAAAAGTGCTACCTGGAGTCAAAGGAAAATGCATTCTCTGGGACAATGGTGTCTTTAAGGATAGGCATACAAAGCATGTGAATTGCAGAGACCCACTTGTATCACAAAGTAATTGGCTACAGGTGCGATTAAAAACACCCAAGAAAACCATTCTCGCATTTGTGATATAAAATACAGATTTACAAGAGCCTCAACACACTAGAAATAAGATGCAGATACAAATTTTCATATAATCTGCTGTTACGGATTACTGAGTGATGGTCACAAGAATACTCATCCACTGAGCTGGCTTGGCCCACCCTTGTTGAGGATATACCATCATAATAATGACAACGTCCAACTCACCTGTTGTCCACAGCAATCTGTTTGATCTTCTCGAAAGTCACAGGTCTTCCCGACTGCACTAAGTCCTCAAAGGCCTCACAGAGGCCATCAACGTCCTCGCCTTGGTATTTGATTTTACCATCGTCACACTTCCTTTTCATGTAATTCCTCACTCTTGGTGCTTTGGCCGAGATCCAGTGAATTGCTGATCCCTTCACTCTGGAACATAGAGCCGCCCCCACAAAAGTGAGTAATACATGAGCTATTACAAAGTTGACAATGAATACACATGATGTACCTAGAATCAAATAGTAACCCATTCTGCCCAAAGGCATTTGCCATGGCTAACAATTAATAACCTTATAATATACAGGTAGCCAAAAAATTATTATGTATGTCTATACATGTAAATCTAGATATTAAAAATGCCGTTTAGTTGTGCCTGTTCAATTCCGACAATTCTAACAAGAGACCCCTTGCAGTTGGTATTCCGTTACAGTTCCTTTAACATGGCACGGAACCATTGAAAAAATAAAGCAGAATTCCTCAACACCAAAAGGTTCTGAAAAGCCAAAGGAATCTCTCTCTTTTTGATAATCATTACAAATGAATTTTAAGATCTGTAGTTGACATTTACAGAAACAGTCAAATCCAAAACCAAACCACTCCAGAAATTTGCAACAAGCCTTACTCTCTGACTCTGGACGGTGGGTACATGGCCAGAAATTCCTCCGCAGCATGTTTCAGGCTGACTTCCTCCTTCAGGTTTGGGTCAAAGATGAGCCAGCCACCCTCGTCAGCGGTGTTGGCTTGAGCAGCTAATTCTGCCGCCGTTGGGCGTTGCCTGGGGTACCCGCCAGTCTGCTCATCGGCAGGCCTGAGCTGCGGGCTCAGTGAGTGTGTGTTCTCGTGGGATGAACTGATTATAAAGAGAAACGACAGAAGTAACTTTGGAAAGCAAAACCTGGCCAAAAACTCCACAGCAACTAGAACTTGAAACAGAAATGACAAAACAATACATCTGGAAAGTCAGATTGGTTTCCTTTCTTTCATATTTGTGAACCAGGTACAATCCCCAGCCCAGTCTGCATGTGAATTGGATTTTCAATAGTACCAAATTCAATGGACCATCATATTCTTCAATTGTAAAAACATTGACAGACCCCATCTCCTGTTTCACCCAAAAGAAGCTTCTGGAGGTTTCCTCCCACTTCTTAAAGTTTTACTACTCTTCATAGGTGCCTCCCTACAGGTTTCTTCATGCTCACGAGCAACAGTGTCAAAGGCCACTTTTTCAATACATGTACTCGACTTCATCTCTTGGAGGCTTTAAAAACAAACTGAGAGTGCAAGACAACTGGGCAATGACAACTTCAAGGTCCTGAATTGAAGTGACTGGAGAGTATCAACAACAAACTCACTCATTCACCCACGGAGGAGGGGTCTGTCTAGCCAGTAATTTTTCCACTCTGCTGACGCACTCCCCGAAGTCGCCGTCGACCCAGCTCCCCGTGGCGGCCACTGACTGGGTTTCTGCAAAGCTGTTGTCCACCTGCTCCGACACCCAGGGCCGAGGGGCACCAGTCTTATCCTTGGCATGCTGGGGTTGATCGGCTGGGTCTGTTGAGGGTTGAACATGTTGGAGTAATTTGACGAAGGGGCTGAAGTCTGTGTAAATTGGCTCCAGTGGCGGCATGTCCTCTTCATTGGAGTCCGCCATAGCTACAGGCAAACTTTTGGAAAAGTTAACCTAAAATGAAAATGTTGACCTGTTAAAATAAAAATGCGAACACATTTTTACATCCAAGACCCAACTCCAAGTGGCCGTAAGCATCGCCAGGATGTTTTTCAGTGGAAACAAGGCAAAGCACTCATTAGACACAAACTGACAAACCTTTCATAGTGAGGAGAGGTCAATTCTGAGGTATTTTCAAGCAAATTGCTAAATTCTCAACCTCTTTCCTCTTTTTCTACTTGTTCAGTTCTTTTCTGTCCACCTTTTTCCGGGGGGGGAGCTGACCAGTTTGTGTGCTTGGCTAGCTCCATTTTGAGCCCTATGGCCAATTCCTGTTGGAATGTACCACCTTCACACCTAGGCCTACATCAGGGTGCCCACCAGCCTCTGTTTCCTTGGCCAGTGAGAGGGTGTGACTCGCACTAAATTTTATACACAGAGTAGATGTGCTTTGGGAACAATCATGACAATGGTATAAACCATTATCCTGACATGACAATAAAGTGGTACCCCTTTCACAGGCCATGTGTGCAGAAGAAGCTGCGCGGAATTCGTGGTTCCAGTTACACCAGTGCTTCCAGGAGACTTCGTCTAGTCAGTGGTTCAGCTTTAAATGTTTGATTAGTACCCTGAACCATGTGAACTGGTACTGACATGATTTTGTTTTTGGACTGGCACGGCATCTAAACACACAGAGTGTTTATAGAGACTTTGCAACTTCAGGCCTAGGCAAGACAAATCTCTATCCAATATTCAAGGTTTACTTCAAGGTGTAAATACTGGCGTCAATAATCATGCCTAAAAATTCATGATTTGCTCAAAGTCGCAGAGTTCTACATCATACATTGATGTCAACATCTACATTTATGTCCAAAATTCATGACATGCCCCAAGTCCCAAATGTTAACCCTAACACTCCTCAGTCCTCCAACAGGTGAAGGATTGAGGAGTGTTTGGTTTAATGTCAACATTTACATCCACATTCAGTAATCCAATATCAATAATACTAGAGTAACCCATCCTACACCGGCAACCTCACCAAACACCTAATGTTAGCTGGCCTGTGCTGGAGATAAACTTCTGACGACATTCAACTGGGCAAGTTTTGAATATGGACGTGGACAATACTGACATGACTTCTGTCAATATTTGCAAGCTGCAGAGCAACTTGTGAATTTTAGCAGTGAAAACAGACGTCAATATTTGCGACTTGGGACAGGTCGTGAATTTTTGACGTCAATATTGACGATTGGCGATGTCCCTTCAAAGCCACCATACCTTGGAGACCAGCGTTTATGATATTGACATGGTGTTTGTGACAGTAAATAACTTTGCCTTGAGCATGGTTTTAGGAAAATTCTGAGGCCTATATCTGCTACACCCAATCGATTATCTAAGTTTTGTCTGTCGAAATGCTTTCACAATCGATCCACTAGTAAGAACACAACATAGGTCCCTACATAAAACAAACCGTACCTGTCGAAGTTCAGAACTTGGAATTCGCTCTAGTTGAAGTGCGCCCTCGCCGGCCGCGCAGAAAATGACTGGCGGAATCGAAAAGGCATAGTTTGACTATGTCTGGACTGACTCTGGAACGCCTGGTTATTATTGTTTTTCCATCATGACGAGATGAACTCGATGAAACATTGTAGGACAATGTGTGGACAGTGTGGTTATTAGGATATTTGAACTTAACAATTCCACAAGCCGCCGCCAGCCTTGTTGTGGGCTTAGTGCATAGATCTCTGTTTAATTTTTATATCCTAATAGATCTCTATGGCTTATAGTCAGTGTACCGCTATTTGACCTCAGTTTTGCTTGATGGTTTCCCCCTTTTCATTTCTTTCTGCACATGTCTAGTTCACTGTACACGGTATAATGGCCTTACGTGGATGGACATGCAGTCCAGTCCCCCAGTTCCCGGAGATTCTGCCCCCCATCCCGCCGACCGTTGGCTTGTCTAGGATGTCTCTCCGGACTGTTTGTCATGGATTATTCTTTAGCACTTCCCCAAAGTAGAGCGATAATGAAAGAAAATATAAAATAATATTGCTCCTATTAGTTAGATTGTTACAATCTGTTAATGTCTAAACTTCGCAGCATGCACAAATAGCAGCGCCTGCTTGGCCTCAGCTTTTCATGTTTGCTGGAAAGCGGCCAACAGACTCCTGATCGCAACCTGTTTAGCTGCACCTATGGCTTTGCTACTTGGAGGATGGAAGGGCAAAGCTTGAAGTTTTACTCCAAGATATTTTGGATTCAGCTTAAAGCTGAGTAGCTTATCTGCAGTCGCAAGTTTCACCTTCAGTTGGTGGTTTGCAATGTTGTTTCGCAGGTGGAACATTGACTAAACTTTCTTGATGGCGAAAAGTTTCAATGTCCAGTTCTTCAGGTACTGACAATATGATCTCCGTAGCAGAGGTCATGTAGCTTCTCCTTCTGGGGCGGACACTGTACATGTGAGAGCAACATCATCAGCGTATATTCTCTCAGCAGTTGTTGGTAAGTCAGACGTATAGATGTTGTAGAGGGTCGGTGGAAAAGGACAGATCCCTGAGCAACCCTGATCCCGTGTGCATCTGCAACATGCATTGAAGAATGTTGGTCAGCCAGGTAATATTACATCGGTCTAGATGAAGTTTAAAGAGAACAGTAACCGACGGAGTTAGACTGGGATCAATTGCCCACGGGGGACGGAATCCCCTAGCTCTTTCCCTTTGTAAATTTTGTCAACCAAACCTTTATGTGGGGATGCATGCTTTTTCCCCATCTACTTGCTTTCCAGAATGTTTAATATCCACATATTTACCAAAATATCTAGCACATTATAGCAAATCAGAAGGGAATATTGCAGTCTCTGTTGCAGCGTAAAGGCGAGGCCGCGTCCACATCATTTGGCTACGGCTTGAAGTGATGCACAATTACATGGGAACTGGCAACGGCTACTACTGGAGACTCCCTCGTGTAATTTCAAGGCGCTACCTGAATTTAGGACATGGCCTAATTTTGCCTGTCTAACGGAAATATGTTGATCAACCTTAGTCGATCGTAATAAATTTAGTAGTTAAATACAATTTAGTTCGCCTGCCACCTGTACGTCACTCCGTGCCAAGTGTAAGGTGTAGTGAGGTGCATCTCTGTGGGTGCATACTAAATAAAATACTGAACGCACAATTATACCATTCTGCTTTGTTCCCTACACAGCAGTGGCGTAGCCTCGGGACGGGGGGGGCCTGGGGGCACGTGTCCCCTTCCCCCCGCTGAAAAAAAAAAACGGATGAGTGGATATTGAACAAGGCAAACAAAAACTTGCCCCCCAAAAACCACAACACTGAAAGCTGGTGCAGCCTCCCCTATACAATAGCCCCCTTTGTGCCCCTAGTAAAATCGTAGCTATATACGCCACTGAAAAACGGATCCCTCTACGTGGATTATTAAAAGTTAGTGCAAAGAAGTGAGATGTTGTTTTATTGTGCAACTCAATTTTACCAGAGCTTGCACAATTGCGAGAGTATCATGTTGGTAGGGAAAAAACAATCTATTATATTATAAACCAGTGAAAGTTTCGACCAGGGTGGTACAATGCGTTGGGAAGCATTTTGCACGCGCTCACAAGATTGAGCGCATTAGCGTTCCATTTTTTGGTTTTTTTTAATGGCAAACTTATGGTTAGGTACGTTAGTAGAGACACTAATAATTGATCGGAATTTATTAACTTCAAAGAACGTTTTGAATGTTTATGTGGGATTTTCTGATATATTTATAAGTATGCCGCGTTAGGTAAATCTCATCTGAATTCTTGCCCATTTCCGGACGCTGTCGTTTTTTAATTTCGAGGAAATTTCACGACACTGAAATTGTTCCAAACTTGACGGCATAAATTATGAATATTGTAGTGCCAGTAGGCCTATGTAGCCAGATGAATTTATAGATTTTTTTTCAAAAAGAGGTTTGGCAACACTGTATGAGGACAGTCAATGTGCGCCGCGTTTGAGGACCCTTATTTTGTGTCCAATTTTTGTTGTAGTTATGTACACACAGGTTCAAGCCATGTTGTAGCCCACACTATACAAATATATTCAGTCAAAGCGTCAATCCCACAAGGGTTGGGTGAGTTGGGTAAATTTCATCCCTTTGCAGTTCCTCAACATGTTTTTATAAACTTCAAAAAGCTCTTCGATACCCTTTTGTATTGATCGTGACCTTTACACAACTTGGATTCAACTATTTTACGACTACTGGTTAACGAACGTGCCAAGCGCAAAACCTTAGTAGAATAAGAATAGAAGGGCATCAGAGTGTGCGCCAAACTCTATTCTTGTAGTCGACATGACATGGTTTTGATACGTCTGGAAACCAGCCAAACTCTTGACAGTTTCGCCAAACAGAAAATGCGCGCGCACGCGTTTAGGCTGATGACGTCATCACTTTAGGCTATCCTGTTTTCCGTAAGGCGGAGAAGCCCCCGCTTGTAAACTCTTGGAGGCGCACTATTGTGAATCACCCGTATTGTTGCAACGGTATACGTACCCGTGTACGTGTTGTGTCATACGGATACGCGTACGGACGTACGGACAAGAACAAAATTAACTTGGATGCGGAAACTTTCCACTACCCAGAGAATAAGTTTATCCTGCTTGCAGCCTGGAATTGCGTATTTGCCAACCAACGGCTTGTAAATTAAGGCTGGTCATACAAAAGCAAAAGAACGGTAGGGACAAATCTGACACAGTTAATTAACAAACAGAAGCACCAGGCTCTACTGTACTAAATGCTAAATAAAAAATGTGACCCTCATTGTAAAAAATGGGGGCAAATGTAAATTTTGAGGTGAAATCTGATACCAGCCAAAGATTATTTTCCCGCAACTCTTTGGCTGTGCCATTCGTACGAACAATATGAGAACAGATAAGTCTTGAAGATTTGCATGGTGAAGAGGTATAATAGAAAGTAGGTTTGCGGTAGCACCATAGACGTATCTCTTTTGTGAGTATTTGCGGTTCTGAAAAGAACCAGTGGTACTCGACGTTTCGAGCAGTATGGAACAGTCTGATACTGCGCCTCTTTGGGAAGGTTCGGTTGTTGATTTAGGCTTTGTTTCAAAAAATGACCTCAGTATAATTATTCCGATACTTGAATCACAGACTATATTATCGAAACCACTTGACCAGTTGCCCTCACAGTTCACCAACACTGAACGCCGGCAAGGTAAGAACCTTCGTAGCCAGTTATCAACTCTAACGATCGCGAAAAGTTACAGAGTAAGTCATTCTTGGTCTAAGATAGATTTCTTCCCTGAACTAGTCGCGAGAAGAAGAATTGTCACAATAAAGAGTGATTCGTGCGATGTTTTTAATCAGTACAAACAGTGCACATCTGCTACAGCTTTATCCAATGACGGAAAAGATGGGGTTGTGTCCTCGACCACGGGTGACCACAGGGCAAGTCCGAGCGACTACATTGCATTAGTAATAATAATATAGATAGAAACAGTGGTTTGAACATAGTCGCCTGAGCGACGGGTGGTTTCAATCATTATTTTGTAACTAGAACGGGGGTGCGGTATTGTCGCAGTACTGATTATCAAGAGCTGATTTAATGTATCAGTGGTGAGGGAACCATTCATAAGAATAATGTGATAATATGTCGTTTACCATAAACACATTGCGAGTTGCCTCCAACAGCAGAATATGAGCGAATATATCTGTAGTTCAACAAGGGTCGTTCGAATGCGACGAGAACCAACGATACATACGCCAAAAAGACTTCTTTGTGAGTCAAAAAATTGGGGAAAATCTAAAATTAAAAAATTCATATCTTTCGCACTGGCTGACTGAAATGGGAAATTCCTCCCGAATTTTCTTTGGTCTTCGTCTACGGGCAATCCTATTCGCATTTTGAGAATTCAACTTGGAAAACCTCAAGAGAAATATACGGCAAATTGAGATGCGTATAGAACAGCCTCAAGGGAGATTGCAAAAGGAAAATACGCTAGAGGTGTGTTAACTTGAATGTATATTTTTTATATATCTCAAACAAATTTGACATGAAGAATATATACAGCACATTTGCTCAAATACTGATTGCCCTTTTAATCAGAATGTAGAAATGAAACTCTCCCGGATCCCTTGACCTTCATCACGGATGCTGAAAGAAAAATCCCTCAGATGCAGTTTACTGACTTTTATTTTGTGTATAAAATACACAAGGAACACACTCTCCGTAAACGTGCATGTATGCTAAGATTTTTCAATTTCTCAATAATACAATTGCATATTTTCTTTTTTGTCACAGTTTTACAATAATGTTTTGGCTTGCATTTTTTCATTCCATTTTTCTCATTTTTTTGACATTTCGCCACTTTGTCCATTAATTGTGTGATATAAATAGTTTTACCTCGCTTTTTTATAGAGATCTTTTCCCGTGAACCAAACGTTTCCTTTATTGAATATTTTGCATAAATTAGCCCCAAGGAAAAAAGGATTAGAATATTTAACGTTTAATGAATAACACTGCACGAATCTTACCGATGCTTGCCGATTCACGAAATTGAACGCCAATACGCATACCGCGGGAATGTCCGCGCGAATTTGAGTGCTTTTACGTGTTTTTCCGAAATAGAACGCTGACCCTTCACTTTTTGAAAAACAAAATTGTGCAATTGCATGCTTTTATGATGCAATTAAATCATCAGTCTTGCTCTTTGAATGGTGATTTGGATCGTCAATCCATTTTGTGCGAAGTTGAATGAAACTGCCGCTAATTCGTGCGCGAAGATAATGAATTCAGCCGGGAAAACATATATTACCCTTTTGTTTGGAGTGTATGCTTAATCATAGACCATTCTCGAACACGGCAATTCACAATAGTACACCTCCAAGAGTTTGCAACGCATTGACCAATCACGTTGCGCGAACAAATGCGCATTGGGTGAACAGATTTCGTGCACTGTGATTGGTCCAACTCTTGGAGTCGCACTGTTGTGAAAAGCCAGTACTGAAATGGCTGCAGCTAGAAAGAACGCGTACTTTTTTGCTGTGGGAGCCACCCATATAGTGACATCTCTGTATAGGTGCATGTTTTATTTTCTAGCCGTAACCAAGTCATTAGGACAAGACCATGAAATCACATGCACTCATCTTCAAATTGATCAAAATGAAAGTGCAAATACCAAGCGTAGAAGCAGGTTTATTCTGAAAGCATACTGAAAACCCTTTGTTGCTCACGTTTATGGTTTATTTCTTAAAAAAATAAATAAATCTATTTCTGTTTTAACAGGATTGATGTTTTCCATTCGTGTAAATAACATGCCTGAATCAGTAAGTGACAGAGTTATTGATATGAATGCCAATGACGACACACTCTCACTAAATGGAACTAATGTTGGTGAAATGGTAGAAAAACTTCCTTTTGGCGCTGTTCGTAGCTGTATTTTTATCAGCTCTTTAATTTTCGTTTTTTATCGTGTAATATCTCGGTATTTGGTGTCCCTCGTTTTCTGCAATTGGGTTTTTTCTACAGTTAGGTGTTTTATTGCTTTAGCTATTTGTGATAGTGTTCGTGTGATTTTTGGTGTTGGATCCGTCCCTTATAAAGATAAAGTGACTTTTTACCTTGAGTTCTTCTTGTGACTTGTTTGATAATTCAACAATACCGTCCACGAGGGTACCATTGGTCTTCTCCAAATTTATCTTCTACTACAAGTGAGCTCTCAACCGTTCACTTTTTGGATTGATTGTTAACTGAATAATGAAATAATGAAAGAGTCGACCTTGTCAAAGGTCTTCCGGTGCTGAATGTGTCGCGCAGCTTTTCCCATCTGTGCCCGCTTTCGGACATGTCCGAGCCAACCCAACAGATAAACACGCGATGTGTTAAAGCACTGAGCGTGCTTTCCTACAAATGACTTAGACACGGAAATCTTTGTTTGAACATATTTTCAAGATGTTTCCCCCTACTGACATTACGACCTTTATGGACGTTGCATCGAATCCAGCTCCTTTTACTAAGAAATTCCAACCAGATGTCAGACCCGTCAATGAATTAAAATGGCACGACAGCGCTCCAAAATGTCATAGAATTGTGCATTCCCGAGTTGATCTCCTCAACATTAAGCGTAGCTTGTGTTTTCTTCAATCAAGACCAAATATAGATTAAATAAATCATGACGAGCTTAAAAATTATCGTCCTGTGTAGAATATCTCTTTTCTTGGTAAGGGTATTGAGCGAGTAGTTTTTGATCAAATTGACGAATATCTATCGGGTAACTCTGTGTATTGTAAATTTCAATCTGCTTATCGCAAGTTCCATTCAACAGAGACAGTTCTTTTAAAAGTTTCTGATGACATTTTATAGTAGCTCTCACCAATCATCAAGAGATTATCTTAGTTATGTTGGACTTATCGTCTGCCTTCGACAAGATTGATCATTATATTCTGTTGCAACGCCTAAACAAACGATTTGGTTTCACTGGTCCAGTACTTCTATGGTTTGAGTCTTATCTTGTTGGTTGGAAACACATCATAAAAACAGGAGCATTTTCTTCCGAACAATCTATTTCAAACTCTGGAGTACAGGGTAGCATACTTGGTCCGGTTTTATTTAGCCTTCACTGCCGGCCACTCAAGGATATTTTTAGAAAGTACGATGCTGATTTTATGGTTTATGCCGATGATACACATATTTATTGTTCAGGTTAAGCTGGTGAAGTGAATACTACACTTATCGAACAATGCTTTGGAGAAGTTCGTTTTTGGATTACTTCCAATAGACTACTTCTAAACGATGGTAAGACGGACATTTTACATATTCACCCTAAGTTCCCTAATCCTTGGAAACTAGGTTTTATTCGCATACAAGTCTCCGTGAGTCCGACCGACTCGTCAGTTAGAAACCTTGGTTTTTATCTTGACTAAAAGAAATAAATGCATGTAATTCAAGTAATTGGGCAGAAAACGCTACACTTCCATGTTTATTTGAACAGATAAAATCAGAGAAAACATGTTTTCCTTAGAGGTGCTCTTTAAAATGAGAAAATCAAAAATTCATTGAAAATG